GTCCTATTCTATTTCTTATCTCAGTTATGCATCTTCCATCTGATGTTAGCTATGTGCCCAGATACTTAAATGTATGTACTTGACTAAGATAACACCTGGTCAAACTAAGGCAGACAGACCAGTCGCAGACAGGCGAAATACTTACAAGCTATCTGATCCCTACCGCACAAAACGAATTTCTTATGTTCGTTTATCAACTATAAACTACGGCGGAAAGTTCTTGTTGTTCATCCACTTCTGGACTTTAGTCTTATTCCCGAACATGAGTATTGCGTGCACAAATGTTTTACAGATCTAGCTTTCTTATGCAGAAGGTTGAGTTGGTTCCTCGCCTCTCTGGCAGATGTACTCTGACTTCAAAGAAACACCTCTAATTGGTTATCTTACGACATGCTTGTTAAGATGCAGTGGGTCTTTCCAACCCCTGTCCCACAGTGGAACCTTCAGAACGCACACAGGGAGATTCTAAAAAGAAAACACACATGACAATAGAAAATGTGTGAAATCTGAAAGCCTAAAATAGTCGGCACGGGCATCCCCTGAACTCTGTACGTGACACCGGAAGTGGAAGGTAGACGTCTGCAGTTCTTCTGGTCGTGTGGTGCAGACAGTAGGTGGAACTATAGAAATAATGTCTTCTCTTATCATTTTTTGCATTTTTAAAGAGTAAAACAACAAACTGTTAACTTCGCCAGTAAGAACTAATTTGAAACTTACATTTATAGTTAAAGTATATGCTTCATGTGACCTTATGTTTCATTGATTACAAAGGTGATTGAGTGCGATATGTGAGATTTAATTAACTTTTAAAATGGGGTTGCAGTTTGTCTAATATGACTATCCTCTCTCTATGTTTGTTCCGTTCGGTTTCTCATTGCTACGTGAAATTTGACGCCTTGCTCGGGGTTGTGGCGAGGCTACCATTTGCACGAAGACTTACATAGTGACCAGGTTGAGAAATATGTTATATAATCGTCATCTAAAGTTGGTAAAATAAGACTTCTTATCAGGTGGGCTGCTTATCTACCCAGAGGAAAAGTTAGTATAAGTCTCTATAAGTAGTGCAGTGCAAACAAAGTATAGTTCAGGGTCCAATTTTATTTCTGGTTGCTGAGCTGTTGGCATTGGCATAACATTGGCTATAGTTCAGTTCTCCTTGTTGTGTGTAGTTGTTGGTTTACTGAATTCAGTGTGTCTGAATGTGGTAATACACAATTCTTGGCTCTCTTCCGAACTTCTACCCCCGCATTATGGCGGCAACAAATATCCTTACGGGGCTCAGTCCTATTAAAAATATGCGAACGTCCTGCGACGAACGAATCACGGCAAAACTAGGATCGGCTCCTTATAACGAAACAAATGCTCTAACAGGGTCTCAGCAATGTGTTAATTGCGGACCTGTTTCTGTGACTATGCCTTACCGCCGACGGTATCCCCCGCGCCGCTATGCGTGGCACGGATGGGGGCTAAACTAGATGGCTGGGACTCACGAGCAGCAGCTACCGCATCTCCTGCAACTTCCTCCAGCTAATTTGCTTGTGAGTCCCAGGCACCTAGTTTAGCCCCCCATCCGCGGCGCGGGGGATACTGTCGGCGGTGAGTGTAACCGCGTTTTGCGCATGCTGAAAAGTTTGAGGACAACAACGTGGTCTCACCGCCATGTGGCTGTTATTGTCAGTAATGTTGCGTGTCTCGAAATTGTTAATGGTCGCTAGTATCGCCTGCAGAAACGCTCGAAAGTGTCAACGGTTGCTATTATCGTCTGCAGTGTTGCGTCTCTTGAAATTGTCAGGTAATCCTAGTATTTCCGCGATTTGTTCGTCGCCTTAAGTTCACATATTTTTTATAGGACTGAGCTCCGTAAGGATATTTGTTCGGCCTCCATAATGCCGGGGTAGAAGTTCGGAGGAGAGCCCAAATCTTTCTGTGGCTTGTAATTATGTAATTGTTTAGTCATATTAGAACTGAGATAATTGTCATCAAATATTGAGATAGGTTCACCTCTTATCAGTAATATGAGAACTATATTTTTAAACATAAATCAATGATGTAAAATTGTAGAAATTTACAAGTTCGAAGCCTTGAAGAATGTTTCCTATCCTTATCTTAATTTTTAATTAATTATCCCTAACTCAGTTTTTTTGACAAAAGAGCATTGTGTATAGTTATACAGGGTGTTAAGAACTCATTACTTTGCTAATTAAGTTCTTATTTGTCAGCCGTTTGTGCTGGTTTTTGTTTGCTTTGCAAGACACGTGTCGTATTATTGAGCAAATACACTATATAGCAATACACGCTTTGTCTCCCCCTGGGTGTACACTCTCAGATTGCTTTTGATTTAGTTATATCCAGAGACTCAGTTTGATTTTCTAGTTGCTCATTCATTCTTCATTCAAGTTTTGACACCGCACAGTAGAGTTGACACATATACCTTGTGTGTTTATTTTGCGTCTGCAAGCTTCAGGATTGTGCTGGGACTAATATGTCTTTCACAAGTTCTTCAAATGGGACAGTGAAGGGCATTTTGTGTCAACTCTCTTGTAATCAGGGCTGTATTAAGAAGTGTGATATGTGCAGCTTCCCAGGACGGCAAAATGTTATGGTCAGCAACATTGTTTAGAGCGCCAGATTCTAATAAGTGTTAATAAAATATTTGTTTCTATAGCTTTTATCATATGAAACACGCATTAGATTGCCATACTAGCATAAACATTATATGGCAGTAGTGATGATGAAGTTTTCTTCTTCTTCTTTCATTCGCCTGAAATAAGTTGTCTATATCAGCAGTTTTGTCTCTTGTATAAATTTCACTGTCGTTGTTAGTTCATTCAGTGGTCCATAGAGTTTACGTTCCACTGTTGTTCTTTCTGGCCAAAAGGTTTGCCTTAATGTGTCAAAATCGGTGAGGTCCTGGAGTACATGCTCTGCTGTCTGGGGCACATTTTCACAGGTGCACATGGCTGATACACCTATCTTGAATTTTGTGTACATGTGGTTACGTAATCGGTTGTGCCCTGTTCTGAGGCGGAGGATAATGACTTGTTCTGGTCTGTCCATAATAAAATAGTCGTCTTGTGCTGGGGCTGGTGGTTTCCTGATCGATTTAATGATTCTTTTCTTTCGGTGGTATGTGACAGGTACATCTGGCTGCTCTTTTGTCGCACCTTCTCCTGCCAGTTGATCAGCTTTCTCATTTCCAGGCACTCCACAATGAGACGGTATCCACTACATTACCACTCTTCGCTGAACGCTGAGTTGTGTCAGCAGTGTTAGCAATTCTGGTAGTTTCCTAGACTGGAGTGCTTCAAGTACTGATTTAGCATCTGTCAGCATTACCACATACTGTGAGCCAAGGTTGGTATTTAGCAGTTTCTCTGTAGCTATCTTGATAGCCTGGGTTTCTGCATCGTAGTTATGGCAGTACTTCCCGGTTGGTACGCTGGACTTATCCCTAGTACCATCTGGGAATTCGATGTACCCTCCAGCGCCACCATTTCTAACTGCACTTTCTGCGGACCCATCTGTATAGACTCTGACCCATTGTTCTTGTGGGTATTCTTCATCAATATAACTGAGGGTGGCAATTCTGCTTTGTACACTATCTTGCTCTTTCTTGTCAAATATCCCTTTCACATTTGTCTGGATTTGTACCGTTAGTTTACATTTTTCTCTCCATGGGGTTTGTTCCAGAATACTTTTAAGTGGGCAACCAATTTCTGGAAGGTCAGGAGTTTGTCTACATATTCTTTTTGCTTGGTGTATAAAGCTGCTTCTTTTTAACCGTCCCAAGGCTAGGTTCTTAAATCTATTTTCCATCGGGTGATCTGGCATACTGAGGAACTTTTAAGCTTGTATTTGCAACTTTGTATCTCTGCGTTCTCTTAGTGCCTGTGTTTTTCCAGCTTTCTCCATTTCTAATATGGGGGTTGATTTCATCCCTCCTGTGATGACTCTGAGCGCTTGATTTTGCACTTTGTCTAACTCCTTTAATGTGGTACTAGATGCTGAAAACCATGCAGTTGACCCATATTTCAAGTGTGGAAGTATGCTCTGCTTGTATACTTTATTGAGTATTTTCCCATCGGCTCCCCATGTGGTTCCACTTAGTTTTCTTAGTATTGCTGTCTTCCTCCTGGCTTTGGTTGCTGCCTTGTTGATATGTTTTCTCCATGACAACCTGTTATCAAATGTGACTCCTAGGTATGTGGGCTCTTTATCATCTCATGCTGAAGTTTAACTGAGGGAAGATGGGGCATAAAATAAATGACTGCACATGGGCATCATACATCCTAAATAGAGCCCTGTTTGCTTTGTTGTGTGTGCGTGCATTTTTGCAATCGTGCATGCGTGTGTGTTTTTTTTCCCCCTGGTTTTTTATGAATACACTGTCATTTTATTATGAATTGATAGAAAAATGCAATTTCTTGAAGTCTTGGAGATGTTTTACAGAAGAATGCTTAGAATTCTTTGGACAGCCAAAATGAGCAACACAGACATTCTGAGCTGAGTTAAAGGTTCGAAGACAACTTAACACTAACATCAGAAAGAGACAGTCACAATTTTTCGGGCATGTTATGAGAAGATGGAAACTGAAACATGTTGTGAATACTGAAAAGCTCTTTAGAAAAGAGACAGAGGTAGACAACTTGGCAACTGAACGAAAGAGAACAAACGGAAGACAAAGAGATAAATATCTGGATGGCTTAGCCACATGAAAGTGGGGGGGGGGGGGGCTGCGAGGCAAAAACATTGACCTGATCCATGATCTGGTGATCATGTAAGATGACAAAACATGACAGCCTATGCTTACTGGCATGGCATATGATGATTATATCTTTTTATGTAGCTGAAACAGTCATTTGGGTAATTTAAATAGACAGGGAAAACCAGGTTTCCATATAAATAAAATTGAACTTTTGATTGTTCTTTGTGATTACCATAGCATCTGACAGTGATCATGACATGCAGTTTATCTTTCTTGTTTCCTAGGAGACACAAAGATGGCTCAGTCAGTAACCATGGATGAGGGGATAATAGCTAAAGCTATCAGAAGCTACGATAACATCTTTGAGAATGCAGGTAACTTGATGCAGTAGTATTTAGTAGTGATTCCCCCCCCCCCTCTCTGTTCATACTCCTGTGAGTTACAGAGCCTAATGGGGGGGGGGGGGGGGGGGTGTGTGTATATATATATATATATCCACTTCTCCACTCCACCTCCAAACAAGCATGTCATAAAAGGCAACTTATAAGGGAAATTTCCTTTGAAGTCGCAGTTCGTCGGCCTGAAAGGTCAGGAACTAACAGTCTGCATACAAATAATCTAGATCATCAAAATGATTGTGCAGAAAAAAAACTCAAGGTATGGAACAAGACTAATGTCCAGAAGTGGGCGGGCAAACAGAACTTTCCACCAGAGGCTACTGCTGGTGAAAACAAAGAAGAAGATTAACTACCAGACATCTTGAAAGAAGAAGAAGATTAACTACCAGACATGTTGATAGAAGAAGATTAACTACCAGACATGTTGATAGAAGAAGATTAACTACCAGACATGTTGATAGAAGAAGATTAACTACCAGACATGTTGATAGAAGAAGATTAACTACCAGACATGTTGAAAGAAGAAGATTAACTACCTGACATCTTGAAAGAAGAAGATTAACTACCAGACATGTTGAAAGAAGAAGATTAACTACCAGACATCTTCAAAGAAGAAGATTAACTACCAGACATGTTGATAGAAGAAGATTAACTACCAGACATGTTGATAGAAGAAGATTAACTACCAGACATGTTGAAAGAAGAAGATTAACTACCTGACATCTTGAAAGAAGAAGATTAACTACCAGACATGTTGAAAGAAGAAGATTAACTACCAGACATCTTCAAAGAAGAAGATTAACTACCAGACATGTTGATAGAAGAAGATTAACTACCAGACATGTTGATAGAAGAAGATTAACTACCAGACATGTTGATAGAAGAAGATTAACTACCAGACATGTTGATAGAAGAAGATTAACTACCAGACATGTTGAAAGAAGAAGATTAACTACCAGACATGTTGATAGAAGAAGATTAACTACCAGACATGTTGAAAGAAGAAGATTAACTACCTGACATCTTGAAAGAAGAAGATTAACTACCAGACATGTTGAAAGAAGAAGATTAACTACCAGACATGTTGATAGAAGAAGATTAACTACCAGACATGTTGATAGAAGAAGATTAACTACCAGACATGTTGATAGAAGAAGATTAACTACCAGACATGTTGATAGAAGAAGATTAACTACCAGACATGTTGAAAGAAGAAGATTAACTACCAGACATCTTCAAAGAAGAAGATTAACTACCAGACATGTTGATAGAAGAAGATTAACTACCAGACATGTTGATAGAAGAAGATTAACTACCAGACATGTTGATAGAAGAAGATTAACTACCAGACATGTTGATAGAAGAAGATTAACTACCAGACATGTTGATAGACGAAGATTAACTACCAGACATGTTGATAGAAGAAGATTAACTACCAGACATCTTCAAAGAAGAAGAAGATTAACTATCAGATCTCAGACATGTTGTAGCCAGTTTAACTTCTTGGCAGCTGTTTAAAAAAAAAAAATGCCATCTCCAAACTGAAGGTGGCTACAGTGTACCTGCTGCTGCCTCAGGGAATAATACGTAATGAAGCCCCACTCTCTTCCATGATGCACTTCTATGAAATCTGTGAGAGTAGTTTAAAAACAAAATATTTTGGAGTAGTGAAAGATAAGTTAGAGACCCATTTCCTGCCTGATAAGGTTGTTGTGTAAAAGTCAACTAATTGGGGGTGTTTCCTTTGAAGTTGCAATATATCTGCCTGAGGAGTGAGGAATCAACAGTTTGCAAACAGATAAGTCAGATTTGTAAAACGGATATGTATGCAAAACAAAAGTTCTGGAATAAGACCAAAGTCCAGAAATGGATGAACAACAACAAATTTCTGCCGGAGTTTACAGCCGGTGAATGCTAACAAGAAAAAGATATTTTGATGCCAAAAAATGTAGTGCAAAAGCTGAAATACTACAGTTGTCCATTCTAGATCCACGTGTTGAGAACTATTTCATGATGGACTCGCCGATACCAAGTCTTCTGATCTGTCTGGCTTACTTCATCTTTGTGTGGATCTCGCCTGCCATCATGAAGGACCGGAAACCTCTAGAGATGAGAAACCTCATGGTGGTTTATAACCTGGCCATGGTAGTGTTGTCTACATATATATTCTATGAGGTGAGTGAAGTCTTATTTTTCTTCATTTACCCTTAAAGAGAGGGGGAGGGTTGTATTGTGGTTTACAGCTAGGCTGCAGTATCTGCACTTTTCAGCCCACCACGGATGGGTCACACCTGGAGAGATGGTAGAGTCCTTAAGGACATCCTCTATGCTGAATTACAGATGGGTAGATGATGTCTAGGCCAGCCTCTGCTATGATATAAAGATGTGTTTAAGTGGAACATGAATGATACAAGTATTGAGGTAGATTCATGGGTGAGGGGGGGATGCCATTGACCATGTTGTATGGAGGAGGCACATATGGAAGGGAGTGAGAATGAAGGAAGAAATAATTGCAGAAAGGATGAAAACTGAGAGTCAAGAGAAGAAGTGCACTAAATACACTTGATGCCCGGCTCTCTAGCGTAGTTGGCTAAACCGGACTGCGCGGTGACCGTGTGACGAACTCCTTGTGGTCCGGGTTCACTCCCAGGGGTAGGCAGAGAAGCCACATTTTCTTCCAGATTTACGGTACCTACCATGGAATCAAGACCGAAGGGTTGCGATATCCATAGTACCGAGCAAAGGATTAACAACTCATGGTTTCTGGATATTTAAAAAAACAAATTTGATGGCAACAACGGTCCTGAAATTCCATGCTGTAATTGTGGAAAAGCCGGGCAGCTCTTGAGTCCCATTCCTCCTCATAGCACAATAAAGCACTATCCTCTGGAAAGATGGAAAGGTGCCAACAACAACAACAGCAAGAGCCCAGCACATCTGACATCAGCATCATCTTAATTAGCCACCTTTGACAACTTGCTTGTTTAGTAGAGCAGTATATCTGTTCTTTCTTTTTCTCCTCCTCCTCACAACAGGACCCAGGAACCCACATGCGGATAAGTGAAGACTGTAAAGTAACATTTGTTGGAATTCTGTATTTTTGTGCATCCCTGTTCTTCTAACAATGTGTGCAGTTCTCCAAAGAAAAAAAATTTCAAGCAAACAGCCAGGATGGAGACTTATACTGCAGTGGAATGAGAATATAAAATATATTTAAAACAATTTTTGCTCGTACAGTAGTCTCATAATCTTGTACCAAAGGAATCACCATCACAGTTGGTATTACATTTACATCACAGGGACTAACTTGGAAATACTATTCAGGGTGTGCGGGAGCACAAGGGAATGAATGAGCAGATTTTTTTTCCAGTTCAGATGCAGTAGCTTAAGACACACTCATATTGTGTAATCGATAACCTCAAGTTACAAGTAGTCTTATGCTATAGGTAATCTCACCTTACTGGTAGTTTCATATTATAGGTTCCCTATGTCGGTCTGAGACTTCCATTGTGGGGAGGAAAACAATAAATCCACTGTCTCTCTACAAAGAAAAAAGAAAGGTTAAAGGTGACTATTAAAGGGTGATTCCTTCAGAATGTATCTGTCTGAGAGGTGAGGAACCAACAGTCTGCATACAAGTAAGCCAGATAAGTACAATGGGTATGCATGCAAAGATCAAGTTCTAGAACAAGGCAAAATTCCTGAAGTAGACAATCAGAACTTTTAATTAGAGTTTACAGCCAGTGAACATGAAGAAGAAGATATTAAAGTGAATACCAATTTACGGGTAATTTATTGTTAAAGGTAATCTTTATTACAGGTAAATGTATATTACAGGTAATCTCATGCTGTATGTATCCTCTTGTTATATGTAATCTCATCTTTATATTGTTCTCGTTTGTGGGTATTTTAGTCTTGAGTACAAATAATTAAATATTTGTCTATTGACAGTTTCTAATGGCAGGATGGCTGAGAGGTTACAGTTTGGGCTGCCAGCCAGTGGATTACTCAGATTCTCCACAAGCACTTAGAGTAAATATTTCCTTTGTTTATGTTTATTGTACCTTCGCCATGTTAAATGTCATTGTGGCCAAGAGAGAAGGGTAATGGAGGAGACAGTCTCCAGACAATAAGACAGAGGCAGACCTCTGTGAAGGTGGATACAAGACATTGGAGATACATTGGCTGTGAAAGTACATAAAGGTAAAGGACCCTTTTCCACACCTTCAGGCATATTGGGCAAATAGGGCTAGACTTATATTTTCTAGACCGATCAGCACTTGTCACTAGTTGGGGGATGTGGTTAACATCGTGTCGGCCGCTTTACTTTCTAGGTCTATATCTGGTACCCACTCAAGGCTGGGTTGTCCTGAAAGCGTGAAAAGCTGGAGGACTGGCTAGAGAAAGAGATACTTTTAGGTGTGTATGACGAGAGCAAGGTTTTATAGAGGATGTGCTGGTTGATGATGATAATATGGTTATTAACTGGAAATCCTCATTGAGGCAGAACACCAGTGAGCCTTAGAGACACCACACCTGTACTCCTCATTCAGTCAGAACAATTCTGTCCACACCTGTGAGCCTTAGAGACACCACACCTGTACTCATTCAGGCAAAACAATTCTGTCCGCACATGTTAGCCTTAGAGACACCACACCTGTACTCCTCATTCAGTCAGAACAATTGTGTCCACACCTGTGATCCTTGGAGACACCACACCTGTACTCCTCATTCAGTCAGAACAATTATGTCCACACCTGTGAGCCTTGGAGACACCACACCTGTACTCCTCATTCAGTCAGAACAATTGTGTCCACACCTGTGAGCCTTGGAGACACCACACCTGTACTCCTCATTGAGGCAGAACAATTGTGTCTACACCTTTGAGCCTTAGAGACACCACACCTGTACTCCTCATTCAGGCAGATCAATTCTGTCCACACCTGTGAGCCTTAGAGACACCACACCTGTACTCATTCAGGCAGATCAATTCTGTCCACACCTGTGAGCCTTAGAGACACCACACCTGTACTCCTCATTCAGTCAGAACAATTGTGTCCTCACCTGTGAGCCTTGGAGACACCACACCTGTACTCCTCATTCAGTCAGAACAATTATGTCCACACCTGTGAGCCTTGGAGACACCACACCTGTACTCCTCATTCAGTCAGAACAATTGTGTCCACACCTGTGAGCCTTGGAGACACCACACCTGTACTCCTCATTGAGGCAGAACAATTGTGTCTACACCTGTGAGCCTTAGAGACACCACACCTGTACTCCTCATTCAGGCAGATCAATTCTGTCCACACCTGTGAGCCTTAGAGACACCACACCTGTACTCATTCAGGCAAAACAATTCTGTCCGCACATGTTAGCCTTAGAGACACCACACCTGTACTCCTCATTCAGTCAGAACAATTGTGTCCTCACCTGTGAGCCTTGGAGACACCACACCTGTACTCCTCATTCAGTCAGAACAATTATGTCCACACCTGTGAGCCTTAGAGACACCACACCTGTACTCCTCATTCAGTCAGAACAATTGTGTCCACACCTGTGAGCCTTGGAGACACCACACCTGTACTCCTCATTGAGGCAGAACAATTGTGTCCACACCTGTGAGCCTTAGAGACACCACACCTGTACTCCTCATTCAGGCAGATCAATTCTGTCCACACCTGTGAGCCTTAGAGACACCACACCTGTACTCATTCAGGCAAAACAATTCTGTCTGCACATGTTAGCCTTAGAGACACCACACCTGTACTCATTCAGGCAGAACAATTCTGTCAACACCTGTGAGCCTTAGAGACAAAACACCTGTACTCATTCAGGCAGAACAATTCTGTCCACACATGTTAGCCTTAGAGACACCACACCTGTACTCATTCAGGCAGAACAATTCTGTCCACACATGTTAGCCTTAGAGACACCACACCTGTACTCCTCATTCAGGCAGAATGATTCTGTCAACACCTGTGAGCCTTAGAGACACCACACCTGTACTCCTCATTCAGGCAGAATGATTCTGTCAACACCTGTGAGCCTTAGAGACACCACACCTGTACTCATTCAGGCAGATCAATTCTGTCCACACCTGTGAGCCTTAGAGACAACACACCTATGTTCCTCATTCAGGCAGAACAATTATGTCCACACATGTTAGCCTTTAAGACACCACACCTGTACTCCTCATTCAGGCAAAACAATTATGTCCACACCTGTTAGCCTTAGAGACAAAACATCTGTACTCCTCATTCAGGCAGATCTTGTGTCCACACCTGTGAGCCTTAGAGACATCACACCTGTACAAAATAAGCACTAGAAAATCTGAAAAAAGGTAGAGGACTTATGTGCTCACAGCATTATGGCACATTGGTACAATGGTAAATGGAAGTGAAGGACTTGTTTTCATGCTGTAACATCTATTGAGCATGTGATGCTACTCCCCTTATACTGCTGCGGGTGATTTGGTTAGTCATAGAGGAAAAAGGCAGCACAGAACCTGTTCTAAATTACATAGGAATACAGCAAATCAATTGGTTCACACTCCTAATTAGAATGCTTTGTGGCACTATATATTACATGGTAAATATCAAAAGAGGAGAAGGATATAAAGCACAAGGTAGACCAAGAACAGGATGGAAAGATAACATCAAAGAGGAAGAAAAAGATGATGTGGTCAGAATGACGCCTGCCACCTTTACTTCCTATAATTTGTCCCAGTATTTTTAGGATGGATGTACATATAAGCAGAGGTCAGTTTAAAAAACAAAAATTTGCATCAATGGAGACCAGACCTCCAGGATCACCCAGTGTTTGCTGGGAAGGCAACATCCAACAGTCCCTTGACTGACAAAGGTCTGGAATGGAACAAAGCCAGAAAGAAAACTGCTGATTGAGAAGTCTGGCAATCTCTCTGGCAAACCTGAACTCCCTAGGGTAGAAGAGGATCGACTAAGTAAGTCAGTGGGGATTTATACTTAACTCTTTGAGTCCCAAGGAACGCATCATATGTTCATCGGTTACTGCCTAGAAGCCCAGTGAACGCATGATGCGCCGATTTTACATCTCTTTTGACTACCCATTGGGCCTGTGATGCTAAACCCTCTGGTACTCAAAGAGTTAAGGGGACCAAGCAAACTGTCTAGCCCTACACCACAGCTGCTGAAATGATACAAGACCTACATTCTCTGGACCAGAAATGGCTTGATGGATGGATGTCAGTGTCATGCTAGCTGCCTCTCCATGTGGGTTCTGGGGCTCTGTTTTGAAGAGGACAGAATAAATAACCTTAACAGTTGCAGTGCATCTGCCTGAGAGACTGGGAACCAACAGCCTGCACACAAAAAAAAGCTAGATCTGCACGATGGAGATGCATGCAAACCTCAGGTTCTGGATCAAGACCAAAGTCCAGGAGTGGACCAACAACCAGAACTTTCTGCCAGACTTTACAACTGGTGAACACCAAGAAGGAAAAAACATATGTTAGCTGCCTTTACCTTCCCTGTTAATCTGCTAGTCACTGACATTGTTGCTCCCAGTAAACAGAAAGTGTATATGTTTTTAAAAAAAAGGGAAAGTGAGTCTCCTATCAACTGTGCTAACATGGCCCCGGCATGTTAAAAAGAAAAGGGGATGGGGGAAGATTTGGACATTGCCATTCCTGGGTACCTCTGATTAGTGTTCATCAGAGGGTTTCCCTTGGATTTCCTCACTTCCTAAGTACATTTATTTCCAATTTCTATGATTGTTTTGGAACTAATTAGGGTTATGCTAAAATCTGATGTTTTGGGTCCAAAGGTGCCAATATCACAGCCTAGCTGTAAACCACAACACAGTGTGCCAACTGCCTTTTTTAAGGGCAACTGCAGAAAAGAAAAATAATTGACAGTATTCACAGACAAGATTGTCTGACATGGCATGGATTCCTACAGGATCTACAGGATCTTGTATGCAGTCAGTCGAGAATAACATGGTATAGAGCAGGGCTATTCAACTGGCGTCCTCAGGCCAGATCTGGCCTGCAAAGGCCTAGTAAATGGCCCGCCGATCACTGCTATTGTATTGTACAAATGATTTTTCTATGCTGGGGTTGAGACCTCTGGCCTGAGATGATCCATATTCTCAAAATGTTGGCCCTTGGGTAAACTTAGTTGAATAGCCCTGGTATAGCGTCTGTAGAGCAGTGGCTGTCAACCTTCCTAATGCAGCGACACTTTAATACAGTTCCCTCATGTTGTGGCGACCCCCAGACAATTATTCTCCTTCATAACTTCAATGAATATGTGTTTTCCCGATGGTCTTAATCGACTCTTGTGAAAGGGTCATTTGACCCAAAAAAGGGTCGGGACCGGCAGGTTGAGAACCACTGCTGTAGAGTTAGAGATGACACTGGGGCAAAATCGTAGACGTAGTTACATTTTATACATGAATGTTTGCTGTTACAGATGGTGCGAGTCTGTTGGCTGTTTTACATCTCAAAGTTTATTGAGCTGCTAGACACTGTAAGTTTGGGTTTATTCAAGAGCATTTTCAAGCTGGGTTGCTAAATGTTAATCTTTTCAAAAGTATATTTTAGATGAGATGCTAAACACTGATCTGTTCAGAAGTATCTTGTAGATGACTTGCTAAACACTGATCTGTTCAGAAGTATCTTTAGATGAGTTGCTAAACGCTGATCTGTTCAGAAGTATATTTTAGATGAGGTGCTAAACACTGATCTGTTCAGAAGTATCTTTTAGATGAGTTGCTAAACCCTGATCTGTTTAGAAGTATATTATAAATGAGTTGCTAAACGTTGATCTGTTGAAAAGTATCTTTTAGATGAGTTGCTAAACGCTGATCTGTTCAGAAGTATCTTTTAGATAAGTTGCTAAACCGTGATCTGTTTTGAAGTATATTATAAATGAGTTGCTAAACGCTGATCTGTTCAAAAGTATCTTTAAGATGAGTTGCTAAACTCTGGTTTATTCAGGTCAGGAAATTCAGGGGGGAAATTTAGCTGAGTTGCTGGTGAATGGGTTAAGAAGAGGCATTATGCTGGACATATCCTGAGAAGAAATGAACAGAGAATCACCAAACCTGCATTACAATAAGAAATTCATATACAAAGGAATTGTTAACAGCTGTGACATTACTAACTCTCTATATGTTTCTTGGTTATCCCAGCGCTGTTATGTTCTTGTGCTGTTATCTACACAGACATTATCAGTTTCCACTTCTGCCATTAAGCACCATGGGAATGAACAGTTTGCAATCCAGTGCTTGATGGGCAGCATTGCTGTTATCATTGTGTGTCGATGTAGAAGCTCTTTAATGTCATCAGTCCACCTTCTAGAGCGATCTCTTGCTTTCACATCATATTCTTTCATGTGTAGCACCTGCTTTGGTAGCTGTTCTGGCTGCATTCTTTTTAGATGACCAAACCATTTGATCTTCTGTTTCTTAATGCATTTTCTCTATGGTGTTGTTCCCAGAGTCTGTCTGATAAAATCATTTCTAACTTTGTCTCGGATGGTTAAGCAATGAAGATGATGTTGTCTGTAACAGATAACAAGAACATAATATCTTTGCAATAACTAATTAACATTTAGGGATTTGACTGGTGGTAAAATAGTGGAGGTCCTTACTCGCACAGGACTGCAAGTTACACCAGGCTGGTATAACTGCTATGGGGGGTCCCAGTTATAACACTTTTGATGTTGAACAGAGTATCTGTCCTGTTGATCTGCCATCCAGTTTGAGATTTTTATTTTTTGTGGTTTAAATCTCAGGGTGGTAAACCTTCGGGCAGCAGTCTCTTTGACTGAGAAAAGGGAGGACGTCAAAAAGGAAACCCTATAACGAACTCTGGTGAGAGAGGCCAAAGGTGCTGGACTGGATTCCATCTGTGAAATTTCATTTTGCATGATAGAATGAAGTGGAGGAGTAGGCAGTTATCCCTGTATGACATATTATGGCACAACAGGTCACCAGTGATGATGATGATGTTCGTGTGACTGAAGTATCAACATAGATATAGAACATGAAACTGTGCTTCACACTGTGTTGCATGCAGAATGTGACATTGTAATTTGATGTACTTGACCTCAGGTTGTAGAATGTGATGTGTGATTTAGTGTATTTTACATCAGATTGTAGAATGTAATAGTGTGATTTAGGTCTTTGACATCAGGTTGTAGAATGTAATAGTGTGATTTAGGTCTTTGACATCAGGTTGTAGAATGTATTAGTGTGATTTAGGTCTTTGACATCAGGTTGTAGAATGTAATAGATGATTAGGTGTCTTTGACATTAAGTTGTAGAATGTAACTGTGTGATTTATTGTCTTTGACATCATGTAGTAGAATATAATAATGTAATTTAGTGTCTTTGATATCAAGTTATAGAATGTAATGGTGTGATTTTGTTTCTTTGACATCAAGTTGTAGAATGTAATGGTGGATCTAGTGTCTTTAAAATCAAGTTGTAGAATGTAACAGTGTGATTTAGTATCCTTGACATCGTTGTGGAATGTAATAGTGTGATTTAGTCTATTTGACATCAAGTTGTAAAATTTAATAGTGTGATTTGTTTGTTGTGACCTCAAGTTGTAGTATGTAGCAGTGTTATTTACTGTCTTTGACCTCAGATTGTAAAATGCATATGTGTGATTTGCTGTGTCTGACTTCAGATTGTAAAATGTAATGGTGTGATTTAATTTTTTTGATATCAAGCTGTAGATAGAATATGACTGTGATTATGTCTGTTTGACACACATTTTATTAGAAAGAATAAGAAGGTGGGACAACGTTGAACTAGTCACTTCTGTAGAGGCATTTGCTTTGTGGAAAAGAGATGTTTCAGTAAATGCTACCATTTTTGTTTTGTTTTTCTGTGACAGATTTTCTTTATTCTGAGAAAGAAGTTCAACCAAGTCTCATTTCTTCACGTGTTTCATCATGGAATCATGCCCATCTCCTGGTGGTTTGGGGTCAAGCTTGTACCAGGTTCGTGCACTTGTTCCTTTCCTCTCTTTGCGTTGAGGAAAAGTATATTTGTTGATTAATATAAATTGCCATTTATTGTGGATGCCAGATTCTCTTCTCGGGTAAGTGTGATTTCTTGTGAATTTACACAATTATTGTAAATAAGACTGAGGCAAATAATAATCATGGTGTGGTCAGTAAAAGTAATAATCATTGTCTCTACAAATTATTGTCATGTTGTTCAAAAATTCCCAACTTAGAATGCTGTTAATCAGTTTGTGTGCTGACGTATATTTAGGACCAACTTATCTTTTTTTTTTTCCTCATGTTCACAGCAGTAAATCCGGCAGAAAGTTCTGGTTGTTCATCCATTTCTGGACTTTGGTCTGGTCTCAGAATTTGAGTTTTGCATGCACACCTGTTTTACAGATCTGGCTGTTCGTTTCTCACCTCTCAGGCAGATGCACTCCGACTTTAAAGGAAACACCCCTAATTAGTCAGCTTTTGGACAGTATCTCCCCCCCCCCCCCCCCCCCCCCCGCCCCCCCACCCCACAAACATTGGGACCAGGTTACCCCCGCAGGGATGTATGGACTATAATTAAGAAGAAATTGTACCCCCGGCTTCCCTGATGGCTGTGGCAAGAAACAGGTTTGGTTGATCAGTTGATTGTTCAATCTCCTCCATGCTGCTACCTGAAGGTTTAACACCCCGAGATTTAAAAAAAGAAATCTCAACCTGGATGGCAGACCAACAAGGCAAATCCCAGATACCCTGTTCAACCTCCAAAGAAGTTAGAATTGGGGCCCCCCATAACAATTACACCAGCCTGGTGTCACCTGCAGTCCTGTGCAAGTAAGGACCATTACTCTTTCAGCAACAGCCAACTGCCTTTATGTTTCTTGGTTATTCCAAAGATAATTTATGTTCTAGTTGTTATCTATCACAGACAGCTGGTAACAAATCCTTTCTATATGAATTATTAGTTTAACTCAGTGTTTCCCAAACCTTTTTTTTAAAGTCACGGCGCCTTTTATTGTATTACAATTTGTCCACGGCGTCCTAACCTAAATAAAAGTAGGACTATTCATATGTAAGAGACTTAAAAAAAACCTAGTGTATCTTTGGATATTTTGCGGCGCCCGTGTGAAGAGGTCGCGGCTCCCCGGGGGCTACATGGCGCAGTTTGGGAACCACTGCTTTAACTCCTTCTGTCTGATAACTCCAGGTATCTCTGTTGAACTTCTTCACATCTAAATATTTATTGATTTTTTAAGCTCAGCTTCTTTTGCAGGGAAGGGTTTAAAGTAATAGACACTTGGAACAGAAAGCATAAAGGAAACAAAAAATTACAGTCCCTTTTATAGGATCATCTTTCCAGTTAGTTCTGATGTTTGTTTAGGTTCTTTTACTGTGTTTTCTGTATATTTGTAGGTGGATTTGGCACGTTCCACTCACTGCTGAATTCCTTCATACATCTAGTCATGTACACCTATTATGGCTTGTCGGCCATGGGACCAGCCTTTCAGAAGTATTTGTGGTGGAAGAAGTATATGACCTCGATGCAGATCGTAAGTCTTCCTTTTTATACTTTGTCCGTATTGACTGGGACCTGTTGGAAAGTTTGTTCTGTGTGGGCCCCGTTTGGGGGGGGGGGGGGGTGGTGAGTGGAGCCTACACACTGCTCTGTGACAAGCATATCATAAAATGCTAGTAATTAGCAGTTTACTGAAATTGGATGTGTTGGCCTGATTGGTGCAGATATTGCAGCTTAGCTGTGAACCACAGCATGCCAAATGCTCTTTTATGGATGGTAGCAGAAGAAGTTTGTAGTTGCTAAATGGCCACTTTTATTGAATGCTCTACGAGAGATAACACGTCTGGCAAATCACATGATGACTGTGAATCTGCAAAATGCAAGACAGGCTTTTTTAAAGGGGCCAGACAAGAGAACTGGTGTCCTCAGGCACTACACGCTGCTGGATGTATGAGGGGTGGATCCGAGCACTTATGGACTAAATGGTTGGAAATTAAACAAAATTGACAACCAAGAACCCATCTAATTTCCTAACTATAACACAATTATCACCAGGTTTTTTAGTTCTAGAATCAAAGGTACTGTTAATCACCTTGAAGTGTAAAAAAAAGATGCCGATAATGACCAACAGTTCTTCTTTATGGAGCGGAATGCTGGAGAATGACCAAAAAGGATACACACAAGCTGTCCACCTTCCACCACACATGTCTATGTAGAATTATCAACATTTTCTGGCCAGATACAATGTCAAACACTAAACTACTTCAAGTCACAAACCAAGAAACTTTAGACAGTATGATTACCAAGAGAAGATGGAAATGGCTTGGAGACGTTATGAGAATGACTTCTGATATACCTGCCAAAACAGCTCTCACATGGACACCAGAGGGAAAGAGAAAACAGGGGCGCCCAAAAACAACATGGAGACGAACGATGGAAAGTGACCTGAGTGCGGCATCTTTGACATGGAAAACTGCACTGAAGATTGCACAGGACAGGAAAGCATGGAAACTCCTCTGTGAAGCCTCATGTGCCACTAGGCATAACGAGAACTGATGATGACGCAGTGAGGATGCTTATATTACACTAAAACTGCACACAGTCCCTGAATTATGTGTGTGTCTTCTTTATTACCCTCACCCCCAACATGTTTTTTAGCCGTATTGTTTAGTCACATAGTTTATTCTTATTTTTAGAATATACATGGTGTGCCATACATAGAAAATGTGTGATTGTTTTGGAAATATATTTTGATGTATGTCCACCATTGGCAAAAAGACATATAAGCACAGCTAGGGTTATGCTTAAAATGGCATTGGTAGTATGTTTATTTTTCTTATGTATGGAAACTTATGGGATACTCTATATATTAACTTTTTCTCTCCCCCCCCTCCCCCCAACAGCAGACTGTGTGTGACTGGAAATTATCCACTTGTACGAGTCAGCATGTTATATATGTATTTACATCTTATGTTTAGTGAGGGATCCTGAAGGACTCTGACAACATATTTATTTCCTGCAAGAGTTGTGTATTTGGCCCGTCTGGAAGTAGCATACCCATGAGTCTAGTATATAAGGTTAGATGTAATGAAATGCAATTAGGATTCACCATTAGAGGTCAGGGGAAACTCTGATAGGCATAAATAAGGAACAAAAGATGGGTCTTGACCAACCATTGGTTACACACACTCTCTCTCTCTCTCTCTCTCTCTCTCTCTCTCTCTCTCTCTCTCTCTCTCTCTCTCTCTCTCTCTCTCTCTCTTTCTCTCTCTCTCTCTCTCTCTCTCTCTAACAGATACACACATGCTCACACACACCCCCCCCCCTCCCCCAGAATCAGATATCAGACAGTACTCTTGTCCTGCCCCATCCACAAGGCCAAGCCATCCCTGGTGTTGTGGGTGTGGTCTCAAGTCTCCAGGTTGTGGGCAGTGTATCACACTGTAGTGACAATGCCTTAGTTGTCTCACCAGCAGGATCACTGCCAAGAAGGACAGAAAGGGCAGATTACCTTCTTCAGGATACCAGGATGAATCATGATTTAAAATATAAGATGGGGTGTCTGTTTTTGTGTGTGTGTGTCTGACTTTGACTTAAAAAATGACGAAAAAATATTGAGGACAAAAACAGGTCACGTCAGATAATGAAATCATGTCCCAACTGTAAACCATTTTTCTACAGGGCATTCCTAAAGTCTGAACACATAAGAAATCTCCATGTGCATTTTGCATGATGGAAATAATATTTTTGACATTATTTAAGATCCCAGCTGAATAAAATGTTGTTAATAAATTTCATTTCTTGAAAGTGTGTATCGGTAAATTTCTGTTGATCTTTTCACAGACACAGTTTGTTTTGGTGATGATCCACTCTTCACAGCTGCTCTTCATGGATTGCAACTATCCAAAGTTCTTTGTGTACTGGATCGGGCTGTATGCCCTCATCTTCCTGGTCATGTTCGCCAACTTCTACATCAAGGCTTACCTGAAACCCAAGATGGCCCAAGCCAGTGGGCAGACGCCAAAGAATGGATCTATAGGAAACAAGCCGAAAGCTAGCTAGTGGACTGTGAGATTCTGTATAACGATGCCTGCTGAACCCTATACCCTGATACTATACACGGTGTCCTATAAGTTCCATACATAAGACAAATTAATATAAATTTAAAAAAATTGAAAATAATTGCTTTTGAGGTTTTGAACAACAGATCAACATCATGGCACACGGGTAGTAACCCATAAGTGTTCTTCTTCTAAGTTAAGTCTGAGTCCGATGAAGCTCAGCACAGTGCACAGGCTCTGTAACACCGGGGAGAATCCTGAAATACTTTGGGTGGATTTTTAACTCAAAATTTTGCCCAGGCAGCTCCGTTAGGCTACTCTTTTCGATTTCCAACTGCCAAGGGATTTTTTACGTGCACAGCAATGCACACGGGCGTCCGATCTCACTACCCAGAGACCGGGGGGAATTACTAGAAATCCAAGTCCACATGAAAATATCCCTGCTCTTACCGGGAATTGAACCTGGAAACTCTAGCACTCGAGACGGACACTATGCCTCGAGACCACTCAGCCCCCGGAAAATAATTGCTCTAAATGACTACCATTGTTTTGAAAACAAATTTTGATGCATCCTCTACTCTGCCAAAGAACACATGTAAGCTCAGCTGAAGTTATGCTCATAACGAGTTGGTGACATGTTTATTTCTCTTGTGCATGGAAACTTGTAGGACATTCTGTAGTTAATATTCAGTGATAAATTGTTTTGTTGTCCGTCTGCATTTGTCTTTTCATTTGGGTATCACCCAGCTGCATTTCTTTTTGTTTGCATTTTATACATACACATACAAACATATGCACGCATACACGGATACACACTCACACATAGATAGGGTGAGTCAGATATATTCATACATGTTCAATTTCATGACAGGTATGATGGCTACAGAATTAAGACTATTGGACAGGCATGCCTTCCTGTTGCCGACTGTCCCTGTCTCCAGTGTGCCCACAGTTGATGGCAGCATGTATTTTGTTCAAACCATGTATTGCCGACCTCACAGCCTTACGAGGAGTCTCATAAGCTCTGCCCATGCTGCAACTGTGACCTGCTGGTGCAGTGTTCAGTTTTCTCTTGACTAAAATTTGTAAGCTCAGACGCTTGTTTTACCTTAAATGAACAAATGACGCTTTCAAGTTTCATTTACCGTCCACCATTTATCATGTGTATACTGCATAGCCATATTTCTGACTCATACTAAATACACACACACACACATATATATTATACATGTGTGTGTCTATATATATATATATATATATATAGATAGACACACACACACACACATAGCTGTACGTTTGTTACTATGGGTGATTTAAGAAGCTCAAGGGTGCCAACATTGTATTAAATTCTACAGTGTGCTATTTTCTTGTTGCTATCCTTCAGATCACAGATTACCATAATGAAATCACATGTATTTTAATCTGCCAAATATGTGTTTGATTATTCTGCCTAGTATTTGTTTTTTTTATGTACACTTTTGTATGATTTATTTTGATTATAATTCACTGCTTTAACTCATCCAGAATATCACACTGTTATTGAGAAACGTGGTGCCTATATCGAAGGTTTGATTGTGAAACCTATAGAAAACCTCCTTTTTATCTCTGAGCTCTCTTTCAGTACCGACCAGTAATTACTTCAACTCTGAATACCAAGATCCTCACCATATGTTCATTGGTTACACCAATGATTCCCAAACTGTGCCCTGCGGCATCCTGAGGAGCCGCGATCTCTTCACAGGGTCGCCGGGAAATATTGTAAAAGCTCAAAAATTAATTTAACCAAGACATGAATAGCATACTTTTACTTACGTTAGGGTGCTGTGGAAAAATGTTAATTGAGAAAAGATGCCGCGACCAAGAAAGGTTTGGGAAACACTGGGTTACCTACACAGGGTTATTTAAAATGGTGGATACATCTCATTCATGTAAAGTTGCTTGAATATACGTTGAATCTGAATAACATACTAATATACATACAGTATGGGCGCCGTCTGCTGGTCGGCGGAAACCGAACTCATTTCACATACGAAGAATTATCTCTTGCATAACTGAGTTAACTGCAGCTGTGATACGGCTCTACAGGTCGGCTAATTTGAACATCTATGTTGTTGTTGTTATCGATCCAGCGGCGCTTGAGCTTTCGCCCTTTGGCCCAATGCCATGTAGTGGAATTTGCATGTTTTCACAAGCTGTTCTTTTCCTCCGTACAAGATGTTCCACTTGTCTGGTATCGGAGATAGTAGCGTTCTTCTTGCCTCACTGAGTTTTGGGCACTCAAAGAGATGGTGTTCAACAGTTTCATACGGGTAGTTACATAGCAGGCACTCTGGGGAGTGTTGTGGCTGTATTCTGTTTGGATGTCCATTGAGTGGAGTATGTTGCGTTCTAAGTCTGAAGATGGTGGCCTGGTCCCTTCTTGTTAGATGGTTAATGCTGTCATTATGATCAGGGCCAGCCATATGTCTATAAACCTCTCTTCCAGTGTCTCCCATGGACATCTATAACATCTGTTCTAAGTTTGTAAACTGTAGGCCTTACTGTCAATAGTCTACTAATATTAATTTATATATATATATATATATAAATTAATATTCAAACTATTTTCAAGGAACTATATTCAAGGAAATAAACATGAATGACAGTATCCATCATTTTAAATAACCCTGTATGTCGGTCACATTACTTTTTTCCTGTCACGTTCTTGTCTTATGGTAACCACTCATTTCCCAGATTTTACTATATCCTCCTCTCTCCTAGAGCTGTTATGTTTTAGCTTTATGAGATTAAGCAATTGTTGTTCTGGGATATCAAAACTTCAGCTTAGACACTTGAGTTCTACACTCTCTGGGACCAAAACAGTTAGCAGATTAGTTAGTCTTATGCTTATTTTTTTAAGTTTATTTTAAAGAGGAAACCTTTAAAGTCCAGAGATGTGGAAAAAAAACCACTTTTGGTTAGAAGGAAGTAAGCTAACACTTAGGATCTAATTAGCTAACATAACAACTAATTAAAATAGAATAGAATCATAAAAGCACTTTTTCAATTAATTAATGAATGGATGTTGCATTGCATGGTACAGTTATAAGTTAACAACCAACATAATAGCACTCTGGGCATAAGCACTCCATCTTCAGCAGCACCTGCACAGTTCCAGTTCCGACTGTACCAGCAACATTCTAATTGTATGTACACCTCTCCCTTTCCATGAGTGTTGAGTATCGGTCAGTTCCCTTAGTCACTCCTCGCTGCACCATTCTCTTCAGACTATGACGATCTGTGCTTCCACTCTGTTTACTTGATCCCAAAGGGCCCTTACAGCTTCTGGCTTGTCATGCATCAGTTTCCGACTAAATGGTGCAGAATCAGCTAGTCTTATCTGCCTGTTCATTTCCCAACACACTGGCTTAACCTGGAGAAAATATCCAAAGGATGCTAACTACCTGGGATCTCTGGAGCGATGTTTACCACTCTGCACAGAGCGAATCTATATCTTTCTAAACATGCTTTGTGAGTCATTTGCAATCACAAAATTATGACCTTAAAGTCAGGACGCACATACGGGTTCACAGAGAATTGATGTAGTCATTGTTGTAAATTTCATGTTCTTATGCTGTAAAGGAACAGATTGTTGCAAAGCTGAGTGAGACAGGCTTTAAGGTGGTCAGCATGTGTGACACCTGGCGTTAGTCTAACAAACATCTAAGAGATTCTATGGGGTGTAGCCTAGTCTGACAAACATTTCAGAGATCCTGTGCCACATAGCTCTACTCTAATAAACGTTTAAGAGATTCTGTAGCACATGGCTTTAGTCAAGCAAGCATCTAAAAGATTATATGTCACTTGGCTCTAGTCTTACAAACATCTAAGAGATTCCATGGCACATGGTTTCAGTGAAACAAACATCTAAGAGATTCCATGGCACATGTTTCAGTGAAACAAACATCTAAGATATTCCATGGCACATGTTTCAGTGAAACAAACATCTAAGAGATTCCATGGCACATGTTTCAGTGAAACAAACATCTAAGAGATACAGTGGCACATGGTTTCAGTGAAACAAACATCTAAGAGATTCCATGGCACATGTTTCAGTGAAACAAACAGTAAGAGATACAGTGGCACATGGTTTCAGTGAAACAAACATCTAAGAGATTCCATGGCACATGTTTCAGTGAAACAAACATCTAAGAGATACAGTGGCACATGGTTTCAGTGAAACAAACATCTAAGAGATTCCATGGCACATGTTTCAGTGAAACAAACATCTAAGAGATACAGTGTCACATGGTTTCAGTGAAACAAACATCTAAGAGATACAGTGTCACATGTTTTCAGTGAAACAAACATCTAAGAGATACAGTGTCACATGTTTTCAGTGAAACAAACAGTAAGAGATCCAGTGGCACATGGTTTCAGTGAAACAAACATCTAAGATATTCCATGGCACATGGTTTCAGTGAAACAAACATCTAAGAGATTCCATGGCACATGTTTCAGTGAAACAAACAGTAAGAGATTCCATGGCACATGGTTTCAGTGAAACAAACATCTAAGATATTCCATGGCACATGTTTCAGTGAAACAAACATCTAAGAGATTCCATGGCACATGTTTCAGTGAAACAAACAGTAAGAGATCCAGTGGCACATGGTTTCAGTGAAACAAACATTAAGAGATTCCATGGCACATGTTTCAGTGAAACAAACAGTAAGAGATTCCATGGCACATGGTTTCAGACTTTGAAGGGAAAATGCCTAATTAGTCACCTCTTATGCAATGCTTGTTAAGGGGACAGGTAGTTTTCACCCCCCCCCCCCTTCCCCCCCCCCCCCCCCAATGAGACGGGAATCCACATGGGGAAGACGTGATTCTGTGATTGTAGGTTTTCTTACTTTGACGCAGGTAATCGTTGAATAGTACAAAAGTGATAAAGAAATGTTCTGTTGAACTAACCATGTTGTCAGCTGTTTTACACTTGTGGAGCTGTTGAATCAACTA